ACGGCGTTCCTCGCCGTGATCGGAAGCCGGCCCTCTCCTCCCCAGCACCGCGGAACCGCGATGCTTGGAACAGGCAGTGAGCGGGGGCCCGATTGCTCCCCCAGTCGCCCCCTGAACCTCTCCTGTTTGACAGGTGGGAGCTATGTGCAGGATTTCGAGTCTTGCCCGTTCCCCTGTGTTTATCTTGAGGAAACAAGTCAGTTCAAAGCAAACCAAATGCCACGGTTTTGTATCTTCGATACATTTCCAAATGCATGTGCATGTTTAAATACTTACCTCAGGCAAGACTCGTTGTTCCAGTGTATTTATACGGTTAAATATACGCGCGCACCTCTTGGGAGAAAATGCCCTACTAGACTGAGTCAATTAAAACTTGAATGGTTCGTTACTGGTAACTCTCACCTGCTTTACTACAAGCCTTCACCTACTCTCACTTGACCTAAGGAGCTCTGCTATAAACTGGTCCCGAGCCCAGGAGCAAACTCCTGGTCTTCAGAGGGGGCAAGAGCGGAGTTTTGGAGCGTCTTTCTCTAGCCCAGGGGAGGATTTGGGTTGACGGAATGATAACGAGAGAAACCATAGGTTTCCTTGTGTTGCTTGTGTCTTGAGCACCTCCTTAATTTTTCTGTCCTCTTCCAGAACGTCTGCAAGAACTGTGGCGGCATCTTCTGTGAAGCCTGCTCAGCGCACGAGCTGCCCCTGCCGTCCAGCATCAACCCCGAGCGCGTCTGCAACCCCTGCCACAAGCAGCTCATCCGGCAGTACTCGAGCAGCCCCTTGTAGGGGACGGCTTGCAGAGAGAGGCGACCAAAAAACACGTTTGTAGCTGATGATGATTTCTGGAGTTGTTCAGGGGGAATGTGAAGAGAAGACACTTGTCTGTCTTCTTTGGAGGCCAGAGGGGAAGCGGCTTCGTGGTGTTTACAGTCTCTTGTGACTGAAACAACAGCCTGAGCCTTCCCTGTACCAAAACCTGCCTGCTCTCGGCCCTGAGCTGGCGCTGGGGAGAACTGCCTTGGGAAGGGCACGTACAGTTATCCCCAGGGTGCGCCCAAGCAGCCTCGGGGCGCGGTGAGAACAGAGAGCCCTCGCCCAAAAAAGTGCTGTGTGTGCGCGTGTGTCTGTGTGTGCAAGTCGGGAACGGCCTGAAAGCGTGTGGCCTGAAAGCGTGGGGCGTGAAAGCGTGCTGCTGCTCAGCAAAGGCTCGGGGAAGGCGGAATGGGAGCATTTTTAATCCTGGCATCTGGCTGCACTTGAAGTACATTTTCCCTTTCCCGGTTGCCTGTGACAGTCTGGCTCAGCCGTGCTACGGCAGTGCCGGTGTAGGAAGGCCAGGTAAGGCGCCAATAAACACCTTCTAGCTTCCCCTCTTTGGCTCGGCCCCTCTGGCCGCGGGCTTGCTGTGCAAATCAGTATCAAAAAATCAAAGCTGTGAAAGCTCGCCTGTATTTTGGGGGGCATAGGTGGTTTCGAGGCGTGCACGATGCGAGAACTGCCGGCCTGCGCTCATCTGGCACGCGAGTGCCTTAAGGCATCTCTGACCTTCCTCTCGGAGACCCGCACTGTGACTTTGTGACCGCAAACGGGTGGTCAAAGCTCTGTGCCTGCAAACGGGTGGTCAAAGGGTGTAACTGTGCTTCCTACCTTGGGGTGGCAGCTGGAGGAACTGGATTCCCCGCTAGTTAGATACCAAATCCTCATCGTGACACGGACGGTTCAGGGCCACTTCGATCCACTTCTCCCCCTTGTGCACACAAAAAACTGACTGTAATAAAGCTGGCCTTTCACTTTTTTTGTTAGATCAAAATGAAGGTGAGATGAAACAGGAACGCTTTTCCCCTACTGGAAATTCTCATCTGAAACACAGCTTAAAGAGGTTTCGCAGTTCATGCGACATCATTCTTTGTTGCTGTTACCTCAAGGAATGTTGTGTCGCTCCAAAAAGCAGTGGCAGCTTCCTCGTGAAGCACGTAGCATGTCGCAGTCGTGTTTGTCTCTTCGATACTGGAAGCCTACTTCAGTCTCTAAGACCACAGACTGTTCTGTAGTCCACAGCAAACCGATGTATTTATATGTGACGAATGCATTTGGTTTTGTACAAATCTTATCAGGGGTTGGTGGTTTAATTCCTCAGAGGGGATTTCCTGTTCATTAGGCTGGCTGGAACCGCGTCAGCAAGCGTGTCAGAGCTGAGGTTATCGATGCGGTCGGTGCTAGGCTGTACCAGGAATTGCTCTCCTCTGGTTCCCTCCAGGCCTCGGCGCGCTCGGCCACCCGAGTTCTCCAGCCCCTCTCGGTGCCCTTCGGCGCCAGAACACTTCACCGGGGGGCAACTGGAAAGAGTTTTTCTTTTTCTGCTCTTTTCCCCCCTCGTGGTAGTTACCAGATACGTTTCCTTGCTGCTGTCCCTTAAAGTAGATGAGTAGTTGTAAACTGCGTTGAAATACAAAAAGGCTAGAATTGAAGTGCGGGCACGCTGCTCTGCAGGGGTGAGACACCGGAGGCGAAGGGAGAGGACGCTGAATTTAGCCTTAATAGTTTTGTGTACGTCCTGTACACAGCGAGGAGAGTTCGAATTCCTGCATCCAAACCCAGCGTCACTCATCCCCCGAGGAGAAAGCGAGATCCGAGCAATTTCCACGTTCGAGGACTCCGCGGGGAAGCGGGCCCTTAGCGTAAATGATTTGAATGCTGGTACGTCCAGCGCTTTGCAGCTTCGAAGGGAGAGCTTCTTTGGGACCTGTACCCAGCTTTCGGCTGCCGCTCCGCTTGCTCCAAGCGACGGCTGCGAGTGGCGGTTGTGTGAAAAGCAGGACAGCTCGCGAGGCGGTCCTCTGAAGTGACACGAGACCTCGACGAACGGGCAGGGAGGTGGCTGGAAACCCCTCAGAATACAGCTCTGGCGGCTGTAACGGAAAGGGGCGTTCAAAAGGTCAGAGGGAGAGCGCTCGCCTCTTCCCTGGTGCGTCGGGCTCCGGCGAACATCTCTGCCTCTGACGCTTCGGGAGGCTGCCAGGCGCCTTTGCTCAGGTCCTGCTTGTAAAGGTAGAGTGGGGGCAGACACCCGGATGTTTGGATTGCGGGGAGCAGAGGGCAGTTTTTCAGATGTTAATTTTGTTCCACACGATAATAAAAACTTGATCATCTGTATCCCGCGTCCCGAGTGGCCTTTCCATCCCGTTCTGCTTTGGCTACGCATATGCAAGTATTTCAGAACAGGTAATGGATGACGGCTGCTAAGGCAGATGGAGAAGCGTGGAAGGAGGAAGGGGATATTGGCTATGGTACACCCTGCGCCTGCTGGGGGTGAGGATGTTAAATGGCTCTGGTTTTGTGCACTGCGAATGCTGGTGTTTTATTAATGCTTTGCACACCATTACACAGCTGGAGACTAGGACTGCTCCGGCCCGCAGCATTTCCCGTTCCTCCAGTACAGCTGCTTTTGCAACAGACAATCTTTCCACACTGTGTCAACACAATTTATTACATGCTTTTACACAAAGCTAAACTAAATTTTATACAGTTTATCCTTGTTATTGAGCAGCGACACTTGTACTCGATCTCTACGCTCGTACCCACGGAATGTGTTCGCTTTGGCCTGAAAAGAGAGGAAAAGGAAAAATAAAAATCACTACCTCGCTGCAGCTTATTGCTTTCCTTTTCCAAATGCACCATTGCATTTTATTCCAAATTACTGTCTCCAATAGCAGAAGGGCGGAATTTAGCCATACTAAAAGATCTCGCCAGACAAGGTAAGATGACACAAACGGCTACAAGGGGTGAGACGCTTTCACGGGGCAGGGGCCAGACGCTGCTCTGGGTGTGCCAAGGCGGCAGGGGGGCGGTGTGGGAGGTAGGTCAGGGCTAGGTGGGCATCTCCAATCTGCCGCAAGAGCTGATCCCTGGCCTGGATTAGAAATCCAGGGCTGGGGGGTGCTGGGGGGGGCCAGGACCTTGGGGAGCAGCAACTCTCACCCCCACTTTCAGAAGGGAATTCATGGAAGCGTTCCATAAAGGACACAGAAAACCTCTTTCCTGGTACAACCATTTTGCTGCAGGGTTGCCCACCTGGGAAACCCTTCTTTTGCAGCAGGGAGAGCTGTCTTGTGTTCCCAGTAGGAGCGTGACCTGATCCTGTCTCAGCAGCAAGAACGGCCCCACGGCGCTGTGCCCGCCTCTGCAGGAGGGCCGCCTCCCTCCTCCTCACACCCCACCCAGCCTGCAGGTTTTCTCTTGTAAAGGGCAAGGAGAGAGACGCAGTTTCTGTGCAACCAAAAAACCCCAAAAGCTGTCCCGCTACAGGATGCCTCCTCAAGGTTAACCCCGCGAAAAACATCCCAACCTGTTTGCATTGAAAACAAGCTGACTGCCATGCTTGGCTGGGCTCCTGACCTGCTTTTGAAAGAGGGGATGGAATAAAAAAATAAAAAAAATAACCTAAGGAAGTTACTTTGTCAAACTCTGTTTTCCGTAAGGGTAAGTAACGTTCCCCGGCCCCCAGCCAAAAGAGCAATTACTGTTCATCCACCTCTGTGGAAAATACTTAGCCACGTTTCCTCTTCCACGCCAGGGAATACAACCCCACCAGAACCTGTAGTCAATCATGCTAGCAGGGTTTTAAGGGGAGGAGAAAAACAAAAAAGAAGCTCTCTTGCCCACCCCAGCAGGCCTCAGCTGAGCAAGGGCAAGTTGCTGCGTAGCTGGGCAGCACCTGGGCAGCGCAGCGACCGCTGCTTGCTCTGGCTGTAACCCCAGGAGCTGCTGCCCCTTCCCCACAGAACTTTTATCCCGTGGCATCCGGATTCGCAGGGCAGAGGCTCCAGGCTCGACGTCTGACCTCAGATTAGCTGTGGTGATCTCCTTCAGCCGCTCTGAGTTCTAGCCTTTAAGCCAGCTGAATCCAAAGCATCAGAAATAGTAAGCCTGAGGCACACGTTGCTTAAAGTGGAACAACAGAGAAGGCAGCTGCACTTACCAAAGCTGAGACCGTCCCACTGTCGCTAGCAGTTGTCTTCTGCCTTTGGATGTTCGTTCAGGAACAATTCAACGGCACTGCACTCTGGGGAACGAGTTGAGAGAGGCAGGCTGTGTTGAGTGACTTGTATGTGTTACTTTTTCTTTTTTTTGCACAAAAAACCAATGTCACATGATAGGATAATTTGGAAAGCTACATTTAAGAGGATCCTTTTGCACAGGGTGTTAACAGTAGCTTGACAAGCTGTGCCAGACCACCCGAGGATCTGAGTCTTGGGGGTTGGAAGATCCCCTCCTCTTTACTTACGCAGCTGTGACCCCTCCTTAGCCATTGCAGCGACTGCGTCCTCTTGGCTCTCGAAATGCACCTCCGCTTCTCCTGTGGCATGTCCATGGGAGTTGTATGCTACCAAGATCCTTGTAGGCTTCAGCGGAGAAAAAAACTGGAAAGAGGAAAACGAAGGAGGGTTTGGTGAGAAACGAACAACAGAAGAGTAATGCACCCTGTGACCGAGAAAAAAACATGTTTTACTCATAAAGCCTGTGTACGGATGGGGGGGGGTCTGAGCTCTTGCGTAGCAAAAGGCCCCCTGTTGCCATCGGGGTGAAGCTGAGGCACAGCCAAGTCACCGCTCCCCCGCCGCGCAGCCTCCCGCCCTCCGTAAGCTCCCGGCAGAGTCATTCTAGACAGGAACAAAAATCCTCACGCAGCACACGTGTTCTGTACACATCAAATTCACTAAGCGCCCGTACATTCACTCAGTGATGCTGTATTCTATTAAAATGAAGTAAAATTGATACGAAAAACAATCTGAAATTCATTTTTGTACCATCAGCCACTCTGAAATCTAGCAAAGATTATCAATGGCTACTCAAGTCCAAGCGCCGGATATTAAGACAGCCCAGGAAGCGTTAATCCCTTCTTACTTATGGAGGTGAGCAGGTCACTGTGGAGCCCATCAGGCCACGGCTACCCCGGGGAGCCTGTAGCCCTCAGCGAGCTCAAGTTTCCAAACGTGAGCATTCAGCCCGCAGCCATGCAGCACTGAGGACTAACACAGACCCAGCTCAATTAGAAATTTGAAGTCACTTCATCTGTAACAATTAATCAAGGGCTTGCATTGGTAATGAGAACCGAATCGCATTCATACTTTCACTGTTACTCACATTTATTATGTCGTGGGCGCTAGCTTGGGTAGGAAAGCCCCTCATGTGGACAAAGTGGGGCGGTGATGAGGTGTTCCCAGATTGTAAAACGTGCCTGCAGCTTTCCGTTCCTTCCCTTTCCTCCTTCCCTGTGGAAGGGAGGAAAAACCATCATTAACACTTGCAATTATCATCACCTCCCTCACGTGAAAGCTGTAGACACACAGGGTCATGCTCGCAGCAGACAATCAGGGTAAAATGAAGAGGCCTCAAAGAGCGCACACGACAGGGAGGGACTCACTATTTTCTCTTTCAGCATCCGAGTCTCCTGTGTTGCTCAGTCTCCTGTCTTCAGAAACGGATTCGTATTCTCTTCTCGCTCTGTGGTAGGTCACCATCTGCCTGTCGTAAGGCACATGCCTCTGCATTTGATGCTTCCTACTTACATACACTTCTATGTATCTGGAAGGCAAAGGAAAAGATGACACGGCACGCCTTGCGCTTCGGCAAAGAACTCAGCGTTTTGAGAAAATACCTTCAGGACCTTCTCCTACCTCAGCTCTGCTCACGAGGTGCGAGAGCATGGCAAACAACGGTTCTGAAAACTTAACTCATTTAAATGGCACAGTTACGTTTACGAAAGCCCTTTTCAACTAGCAGTGACAGCCGCTCTCCTGTATAAACCCACGTACCGTGAGACAGATTACCAGTTTGGTCTGGACAAAATCTGTAGTTTACAGCCTTACACAAAGTTCTTGTAGAAGTGGTATCAGTTGCTGACAGGCCAACGTTCTGTTTTGTCACGGAATTACAAATTTATTTTCTCTGAAAAACGTCTATTTCTTTCAGCAGTACGCATCCCTTTTGAGCAGCCCTCTACGTGAAGCTGTTTTCCCCTCATTGCATCTCTGCAAACCCCGAATTAAAAAACCCCACCCAACCCCCAAACAGATTACTGAAACAGGCAGCCACAGAAGACGCACAGGGTCATAGTAAATACTTCAGTGGAGCCATAAGATTTTACATATTGCTATGAAATTGATGGGATAAAATGTAACAGGGAGTGTGTGAAAGTCGTGGGTATACTACTATGGGTATGGGTACTATAGGGTATACTATACGTGGGTATAATAATATGTAATGCAACATTAAAGAAAGCAAAAAAAAAAAAAGAAAAAAACAACAGCAAACCCTTATTTGCAGGTTTAGTCAAAAAGTATAACATTATAATGCGTTACATTTCTATCTACCCGCCCCAGAACCCCTTAACTCAGAGCTGCCTGGGCTCATTTTTCAGAGAGCTGGCAACAGTACCAGCTGGGCCTCAGACAAATTTCACTAGCAGTGTTAAATCAGGCGAGTTCCACGGCACCGAAGGAATAATGTGACAGAGAAGAGAAAATGGACTTCCAAGTAAGAAGGCTTTCCTCCCTTCCTAAAGGGAAGGGACGGACTTGGCAGTGTTAGGTTAACGGTTGGACTCGATGATCTTAAGGGTCTTTTCCAACCTTGACGATTCTATGATTCTATAGAGCGGCTACTGTAGGGGAAGTAACCGCACGTACAGGCTGACAGAGCTTACAGGCTCCGCGACCCCGCGCTCAGTACTGTGCACAGCTGAAGGCCGCTTCCGGATAAAACTGATAGCCCAGGAAGAACGAAGGAGTGCAAGTGGACAGCAGTTTTAGCAACCACTTGGTTTCTTGGCTAATCAGACAGAAACAGGGGTATATGAGCTCGGGTAGGTGAGTCAGCTCAGGTCTTGCTCAATCATGACAAAGAAATTAATGGCAGATTGAGAATTAATTAATCTCTGTCGGAGAGCGGGGAAGTGTGTGAGTTAATTCAATTATTGGGCACACCTACAGAGCAGCTGTTTTCTTTTAACATGGGTGGGGGAGAAACAAAAGGAAATGCAGACTGGGAACAGGAAGTAAGGAAATGGAAAAAAGCAGGTGCTGGATAGGCTGTAGAAATGGTGAGGGTTAGAGAAGTCTTTTGCTCCCTGGTGTTCAGAAAGAGAGCTTAGTGGGGTATTACAGACAAGTCAGAAACCTCAGCTGGTTAAGAGTAGCATTAGGTTTTTATTTTTCCTGAAAGCCATTCAGGATTCTAGGAAAAAGTGGTAAATGCTAGTACTTGACCAAGAGAGGCTCTTGTGAGAGAAGCACGTGACGTAGAGTTCAGTGCTCTGGAAGAAAATGGATAAAGATGGATTCCTGAGGGAGGAAGACAGCCCAGGTAGATGTGGTCACCAAAGAGGTGGACGGCTGTATGGTGTCAGCCACCAGTCAACGCTGGGAACAGAGTTGAGCCAGAGGTGAGTGGTAAGCTGTGCTTTGCACAATGCGCTGTGCAAGTGGAGACGGTGACTGTGCCGGGTACTAGGCTGAAGGAAAGGGTGAGGGTTGCCGAAATTGCTGAAAGCAGCAGAGAACCTGGAGGAAATTTGGCAAGGGCAAATGTCTGTGGGAGGCACAAGACCTCAATGCAGTTGTGACTGGGCAGGTGGTGCCTATCTTGTGTTCCCTGCTCTGAATCCCATCACCCCATTTTGGCTGGGATGAGCCTGCCTTCAGGAATACTTAAAAAGAACTGAGACTTTCTCTGAGAGGCCCCGAATTCCCTCAAGCGATGTGCACTGAAGGTGCCTCTGCAGCTCATGGAAGCCTGCAAAAAGCTTCCTCCTCTTCTCTCCAGCTTTGTCAAGGCTCTAATGAAAACGTTAGCAGAGGAGGTAACCGTTGGCTTACGTGGAGTATTTCAGAGGAAGAAGAAGAAAGAAGAAATTATTCGAGAAGAAAAGAAGAAAGAAAAAGAAACTATTAAAGAAGAAATCTTTTAAGCAACACAGTAACAGTCTGACACTACTAGGAGAAAGATTTAGCTATGTTCTCTACTGAAATTTGAGTCTAAAGTCTCAGTTCTGGCTTTTAAGTGTAATACAGGCAGAAGCTTCCTTAATAATAATGTCAGTATGGGGTAGGCTAAGATCAGCAGTTTCACCTGGTAAGAAGCAAGCTGTAAGTCACACAGCATGCTTCGTACCAAGTTCTTCTACCCTCGTGAACCCCAGCGAAGCACCTACCTATTGCCCATGTATTCCCTGTGTCGTAGCAAGGCTTTCGCTGCCATTTCAGGAGCTGCAAACTGCACAAAAGCTTCTCCTGTTCTTCTTTCTCCCCGGTAAATGAAAACTATGTCTGTTATTTCCAAACCTATGGAAGGGTGGGGAGAAGAAGGCATTTACATTGTCAGGAACTTGTGCCGTAGCTTAAAGAGGCATCTCTTGTCTTATTCTTCTGGTTTTTGACAAGCTAATCGGGTTGTTAAATAGCTCTGAAACAACTGCTCATGCTGGCCTACATACCTTTTTCAAACCTTTTTATTTTTTTTAACTCCAATTCACTTGCTTTCTTTAAGTTACTTTTCACAAAGGCTTAATTGCCAATAACAAATTGACTTGAGGCTTCAAGTAACTGTGAAAATAAGAAGCGAATCCAGGTACTAGACAATAAGGAGGTCCAGAGCACAAATATTCCTGGCATGTTCTCTTATTATTATGGTAATTTTTCCCATCTCCTTAAAACTCAGGTCAAATTCACTGAAATTCAATTTTTGTGCTGTATGACCTCGTCTTGGGGAGCCTGTAATCCAGTAAATAGTTATATCTGACGTGATATAGAGGGTGCACTGGGCTGGACTACTACACTTGTTCAATTTTCAGGAATGCTTCTGCATAGCTCCTTGCACCTTTTCGCTTTCTCAAAGGGTCTCCCCAAGCTCCTGAAGAAACAGCGCTACTTGCTCCACCGTGCTGCCCTAGTCATCTCATTGGAAACTCTGCTACTAGAGGCCTTCAAACATACTGAACTATTGGTGTTCAACTGAAACATTTACTGTCGGTGGCCTTTGCTTTTGGCATGACGGTGGTTACTACGAGCTTCAGTGCTAGCGCTCTGCGTGCGTGCCTACCTGGAGGGGAAGAAGTTGAGGGGAAGAACTGGTTTTGGTTTAGTCTACAACTTAAACTTCACCTAAGGAACTGTCAATTTATTTTGTAAAACCTAAAGGCTTCTTTCCTAATGAATGCAGGCAGCAACCACCCGGATTGCTCTAGCACCGAGTGTGGGACACGAGCGTGCGCACACACGCTGTGCAGTACTTGCTCAGCTGAGAACTGGTGCAGTTCATTTTCACAACCATGAACAAGCTAGTAATAAAAAAAAAGCAAAATTGCTGTTAAGAGTTTTAAGGGGCATACCTGATCTGTCATGACTATACAGCTGTGAACACCTATGCTGGTTCACTCATACTGTAACTATCCTACAGGCAACTTTGCCTCTCTTAACTTTGCCAAAGTACGCGCTGGTAGCAATCCTATTGCAGATCATGGGACCTAGGTTCCTCTCTTTCCTTCCCCAGGCCCCAAAGCAGAGCGCTGCAAGTACTGATCCTAGGCTAGACCCGCAGAAAGTCAAAGGTGCAAGAAAACCTTGCAGCCAAAAGCTTGTTCAGAGAGCTTTAGTTACTTCTAGCTGCAGGGGGACAGCAATTCCTTACGCTTTTTAAGGTGTTCAAGGCTGCACGTGCTTCTGCTTTCCTCACTTCGAGGAACAACAGCCTACCTAAGCATCCACTTGGAGAAATAAACGCCTCATAACCAAAGAGCACAGGCGAGGCTGAGTTACCTGAGAAAAAATCCGCAATATCGTCCTCCGTGGAGCTGAACGGAAGGCCTCTGAGTAGTACAACTCCATCATTTATGGCTTGCGACTCATCCCGCAGACTCTGTAGTAAGCCCTCTACATCGCTATCGTGTACTTCAAAAACTGCAAGGAATAGGGGCACAAAACATGTTTTCCCTCCTGGCGCTCAGAAGGTGACACTCTGCAGGCATTCTTCAAGGTAGCTTTTTCTTCCCCCCTGCAAAACTTCACGTTTCTTCCCCCACCCCCCACTTTCTGGTCTTGCGGTGGTGCCCCTCACTACCCAACCCACTTTGCCTCTCCTGTCCAGCCTAGGAAGTCTTGGCTTAATGGTGCCTCGCTGGCTAACTTGCTGCTCTGTTCCACATCCTGCACGCCAGCCCGCTTTATTATTCAAGCAGTTCTTATTCGCTTTATCAAGAGTGTTCTTCCAATGCAACCTCCGTAGTTTCAAACCCACCTTTCACGTAGCGTGGGCCCATATACCTCAGGTGCTTTTCCAAGGCTCTCTGGACATCTGCTTTCGACTCCAGCTCGATCAAGGCATCCCCTCTGCGTCTCCCATCCCTGTTTAAGAGGAAGTGTATGCCGTTCTCACCGTTTCGAATTCTACAGCCTAGAAATCAAGGAACACATGATACAGAAATATATGCAACTGCATCAAACGTGATGGCAGATGAAAACTGAATATTCTGCGTAGAGCTATCCCCCTCAGCAGCGTAAAATACTGTCTTGAAACAAAGGATAGGAAACTCCTATTTCTAACCTTGACTCTAACACACAATGCTTATCAGACATAAGAAACTGATCTGACATCTATTAGCTTCCACAGCTCTATAGCTGGATAATGTATGTTCTTGTATTGTTGGTAAACTTAATTGTTTCTGAGTTATTTCAAGTCCAGAACAAATGCTATAGTCTGCCTGCTCTATGTTCCTTTCCCCTAGGACTTCAAACTGACTTAATTTCGTTTGGCAGGTTATTAAACCATTTAAACAAACTTGGATTTGACCCTCTAGTCTATTCTGGAAGGATGCATCATAACACTACAGTATGGAGGCATCAGCCCTGCAAAGGTATGCACAAGCCTATTAACTAGGATCAGAAAGCAACACTGAAGTTAATTAAGTAAAAACCACTCCAGTTTGTTTAGAAGGGGGGAGTTGGGGAAAAAGCCAACCATGATGGTCTTTAAAGGAACCACTGTGAACTGGAAGTAAGAAGGGCAAGACTTGCTCAATTAAATATCAAGTGTCATAAGGGTGAGTTTCCAGTTGTTGCCAGCAGTTTGGAAGTTGATTATTTGTTTTACATGTGTAGATCGTGTATAATTTTGCAGCAAGATTAAGAACTCATCTTTCTCTGGCTAACAACCTTTAAATTGTCTTTCTGTTAACTCGTCGTTAACTACTGGGTTCAATAACACCACACTGAACAGTTAGACAGGAAAACGAACTCCCGTACTATCAAAGAAGGTAAGCACGTCTTCCTCGGTGCACGAGAAGGGGAATCCTTGCGCCCTGACGAGAAAGACATTGTCACTTTCTCCCTTGGGTGACTCTGTTTCCTGCTCTGAGAGGTGACCTTCCTGGGACGGTGCATCTGTAACCTGTCACCGAAATGAAACAACGGAAATTAGAAAGTGGAAGCGTGCAGCCTTCAGCAGCGGTACCCGGCTACGTTCAGCGTTCTAGGCAGGTGCACGGTAACCGAGGCCTGCGGGGTGTCGGGGGAAGGACAGGGAGGAGCCAGGGCGAGCCCGCCGGCGCACATGGCGCAGGCCGCAGGGGGGCAAGGCGGCGGGG